CCCAAATCCAACATCACCGGAAGACAAACTATTACACACTTTAGATATGAAGCGGGCTCTCCTACCTCACTAGAACACGCCCAATGAGACGAGACTGTTTGTCTCTTACGCGTCAGCACGGCTGGGCACTTGCATCACGGCTCAGCGCCTGTAAAAGTGGATTGTGGGTCTCATCCGTCTATGTTACCTGATCACCAAACTGCCATTGCCTGGCCCGATCAAGGCTCATTCTACCAGGGCTGTCGTGACTACCACTGCCTTCCTCCAGGGAGTGCCGCTGACGGACATATGCAAAGCCGCTACATGAGCCACGCCTAACACCTTCATCAGGCACTACGCCCTAGACGTCCGTACGAACACCAATACCAACATGGGACGTCACATTCTATCTTCGGCTACGCAGTAAAGGACCTGCCAGCACCCTCCTCCAGGTAGGCCACTGCTCGCTAATCTCCCATGGGTGTGAAGCACAGAGACCACGTCGAAGATAAACAGGTTGCTTACCTGTAACTGGTGATCTTCGAGTGGTCATCTGTGCATTCACACCACCCGCCCTCCTTCCCCGCTGCTGTCAGCTTCTACATTTTTAATAGGGGTTGATTTGCGGAAGTTTGAAGAAACTGGCGGGATGTCTGTGCCCACCCCTCTGGTCATGTGCGGTGGGGTTCCTGCGCATGCCCGAGGGACTGGGTGCGAAAATCTGTTAAAAGAGCTTGCTAAAGCACCGATCGATCCAGCACGTGCGCACTAGATCAGTGTGAATGCACAGATGACCACTCGAAGATCACCAGTTACAGGTAAGCAACCTTTTTTTTTCTAAGCAGCAGTTAATACAAATGCAGATGAGTGTGGGTATTGGCAGGGTAAAATAAACAGATGCTTAATCCTTCCCATACCTTTTGGGATTGCCCTGGAAATTCCATCCAGATCACTTTTTCCTAGCCGGATTCCTCTGATTTTGGAGCCTGGTAGAAGGAAAGCACCGGAGCTGCGGTGGCTCAAGTGGTTTAGACGCTGAACTGCAGGCTGTGGAAGGTCAGTAGTTCAGCAGTTCGAGACCCGAGTGTGCAACGGAATGAGCTCCCGTCTCTAGTTCCAGCTCCTGCCAACCTAGCAGTTCGAAAGCAAGAAATTGCAAGTAGATAAATAGGGACCACTTCGGTGGGAGGGTAACAGCGTTCCGTGCGCCTTGGTGTTTAGTTATGCCGGCCACATGACCACGGAAATGTCTTCGGACAGCACTGGCTCTTCAGCTTTGAAACGGAGATGAGCACCGCAACCCTAGAGTCGGACTCAACTGGCTTTCGAGCAAGGGAGCCTTTACCTTTACCTAGAAGGAAAGCAGTTTAGAAGTGATTGGAGGCGCGACTGTAGGTGAAGTAGGTGGAGGAAAGGTGAAGATTCCCCTCCAGCTCACCAGTCCAACCATGCAGAATGCCCCCTTACATGACAGAGGAGCAGTGTGTTTCCTCATATTTTCTTCATAACAGACAGTTCTGCCCTCAGTTTTTGGTAAGTAAGAAAATAATGTATTAATCAAAACAGCTGATCTTCAAGCAAAACATGATCCACTGGCGGAGGAGCAAACAAACCAGCAGAAATGCAACCTGGGTGAAAGCCATACCTATTCATTGGATGAGGGCCTGGGTGAAAGCCATACCTATTCATTGGATGAAGATGAGGTATGTTCCATTTTACACTCTTTAATATTTTGTTACAGTTCCTAATAGACAGCATTTGATATTGTTATATCACGTTCAGCTGGGGCATTCAGCAACAACAACATTCACAATTGGTATAGGATGGTAGATTCGCTATTTACTTCTGCTGACTTGCTTGTGAAAAGTCTACTCAAAATGTGGCTTTGCAGGAGTATCGATTTTAAATATTCTAATAGTGTGGTGTTTCATTATCCTAAGATGAAATAAGCATAAAATATTAGTTTTGAGTGTAGTGCTCTCAGCTTCTGAGGATACTCAGGGCATCATCCTGCCGGAGTGAAATCTAATTGATTTCAACAGAATAGACTAACACCAAGGTCAGCAGTACTTTGAAAGTGTTTATGCCTTACCAGAGCCTAACTTCAGTCCTGATAGAAGTTGGCTGCAGCTCATTTATGAATCAATCAATCACATGCAACGAGTGTGTGTAGTGTAGTGGCTCTGGGACTGGACTTTGAGCAGACAAATACAGAATCAAATCCCCACTCAGTCATGAAACTAGCTGGACAATCCAGTCTTTTCTGTTATTCTGAAAAATTCTGTAACATTAGCCCTTCATAAAGATTGAACCTGGGACCTTATTTATGTATTCATACCATTCTCTGCAATAGGAGCCTAAAGCGGGGACTCAACATTATTCTGTCCATCTCTATCCTATCAACGATAACCCAGAGTGGTAGGTTAGGCTGAGAAAGTGACTGGCCCAAGGTCACCCAGCACACTTTCATGGAAGAGTGGGAATATGAACATGGGTCCCCCGGATCCTAGTCTTACATTTTAGCCACTATGTCTTATGCATGTCAAGACTGCATTTTACCTCTCAAAACACATGGCTTGTTTTGCTTAATATTGCAGAATACTGAAATTCGTTTACCAGATGTGCCTGCAACAGCTTTTAAAAGAAGCAAACGAAGAACCAGGAAAGATTTTACATCAGAAGAAATAAACTATCTTTTGGACGGTGTCCAAAAAAGAGGGCATCACTGGAATACAATTTTATGGGCTTACCCATTTCAGAAGGGACGGACAAATGTTGATCTTGCTAAGAAATACTGCAAGTTACAGGTACAGCTACTACAGATTAACTTTCTGCTAGTCTTCTATGTAATAGTCAATGTTCTGTCTGTGGTGGGAAAAGGGAAATTTGATATTGTACAACCATACTGGAATTTTTTAGAATGATCTCTTTATTTTAAAAACATTTATACAGCTTCTAAAATAGAGAGTTCACAAAGGTACTTTCTAAAGTTAAAAATCAACAGTCTTAAACTAAAAAAGAATAAAAACAGTACAGAAGAACAAGTCTCTTTAATTCCCAAAGGCATGCTGAAACAAAGCTGTTTTTTATTGGCCTTCAAGAAGAGAACAGGGAGGGGCTGGAACAAATTTCCCAAGGCAGGGACTTCTATTCTGCATCAGCTGGAGTTTCTGGACCTTTTGAGTACAGCAACAAAGTAACCGAAGCACAGATGACAGTGACTATTTATCTTCCAGAAATGAGTGGAACTGGCAAATCAACAAGCTGATAAAAAGCCACAGCCAATCACATGGGGATCCAGGACTATAGCCAAGCTGATTGGGGGGGGGGGGGAGTGCAGTCTTACAGTAGACATTAACTGGTCCACTTATAGGACTATCCTGATGTAGCTCTGCATAGTAAGGCACTGTGAGTCTCCTAAAACCGTCAACTCTGACCTATCTGGATTGAGTTTAAATTTATTCTCCTTCAACCAGGCCATTAGTGCCTTCAGGCATGCATTCAACAATGCCACCATATCACCTGATTTTATAAAAAAAGAATGATTGTTTCATCAGCATGCTGATAACACCAAATCTTATATCCCTGAGCGAATTCCCTCAGAGGTTTAATGCAGATATTAAAAAGCACAGGGAACAGATGTTGAATTCTCAGGCACTCTTGCAAGGCAGAGCAAGAATCCTCTGACATCCCCTTCTGGAACCTGTTCTCCAGAAAGAAACAGACCCACCAGCCCAGTACGATGAAGAGGAGATTGGATTTATACCCCGCCCTTCACTACCCAAGGGAGTCTCAGAGCGGTTTACAAACGCCTTTCCCTTCCCTTCCCTTCCCTACAACAGACACCCTGAGAGCAGTGTTCCCTCTAAGCTGAGTTAGTGAGCTAGCTCACAGTTTTTTAGCCCCCAGCTCACACATTTTTGCCTCAGCTCAGGAAGGATGGTAAAACTAAAACTTGGGGTATAGTAATTCTGTGACTTTAAAAAGCTAGAGTTTGAATTGAATGTAAACTTCTTTTAATGCCCAAGTGGACCATTCGAACCCTGCTCACAAAACATCTGGTATTAAATGTTGGTATCATTTTCATCTATTGCAGTCACATTTCTAAGAGTGCACACTGATGTTTCATAGCATATTTTGAAAGTAGTTTTATTTTAGTCCCTTATTCCCATGGAAAAAAAAGAATAGGTCTCCCTCCCTCTTTTGATTGCAGGAACAGTAACATCTCAGGCCGATGCTGCATATTTTTTGGCACTCAGGCACACAAGGTAGTGTACCTCTAGTCTAGACTAAGTAGGTGTGTGTAAGAACTAGCTGTAATTGCCACTAATGACAAACCTACAGAGTATCTGAGGAGTCACAACAGTATAGTATTTCTATGTTTTAGTATGCTGAAGTTTTCTTGACATTGCCTTTCCTTCTCTCTCTCTTTTTTACAGAGGAGTAAAAAGAATAAAAACATCTGGCATCTTTAAACTACTTTGATTTCTGTCAAAGAAACGGATTAAAGCCTTGTGACAAAAGTTGCTAATCATTCTTTGGAGAATGCTTTCTGTTCTCAGGGATTTGGTGGATTCTACTGTCTTTTTGAATTGGTTCTCCTTCTCAAATAATATTATCTCTGAAATTATCTTTTCCTATAATCTCCCATTGTAGCAAAGCAGTCTTCAATTTATTTGTTTTATTTATTTAAAACATTTATATGCCTGCTGAGCTTGCATCCAAATAGGGCTCCAAATAGGGTTGTGACTGCCTAGTGCAGGAGTGTCAAACATGTAGGCTGGAACCGGCCCCTGCAGGACTCCTGTCCGGCCGGCAAGTAAGTGGCTCTTGGCTGCTTCTTACTTCCTGTTCCTGCTCACTTCCTCAGATACAGCTAGAATGTGAGTCTATCTGTCTTTATACCTTGGAAAGTGAAGTGATTTCAGATGCCAAATGACAACAGCAGGCATTGGTAAAGAGAGAAGAAACCTAGGTCTCAATTTAGTTCAGATGCATTTTCTTTATCTTCATTGTCAGTTGCAATTCAGCAATCTTTCTTTCTAGTCTCCCTCTGAAATTCCTTTGTAAGAGAACTGCTACTCTTAGGTCAGCAACTGAATGTCCTGCAAGGTTAAAATGATCCCTTGCTGATTTTTGAACGCTGTAGTTTCTAACAGCAGTAGAATGAGTAAGAGTCCAGTAGCACCATAAAGACTAACAAAATTTGTGAGCTTTTGTGAGTCACTTCTCACTTCTTTAGATAGACCAAGATGGGTAGCCATGTTAGTCTTTCTGTAGCAGTAGAAAAGAGCAAGAGTCCAATAGCTCCTTAAAGACTAACAAAATTTGTGGCGGGGATAAGCTTTTGTGAGTCACTGCTCACTTCTGTAGACTTATTTCCATTTATTCTTTGCATTGTTCTGGACTGAATCCTGGACCAAACTGAGACCTAGGTTTCCTGTCTCATTACCAATGCTGCATCGTATTTCTGCATCGTATTGCATTGCCAAAGCACCTACTACCCCTACTATCCCTCCATATATCACACCTAATACAACCAAGCCTGATATTGCCATTCAGCATCTGAAATAATCTTTATAAAGTTTATATTTCTGGTACCTCGTGTTACATTTTATGGCAAGCATGACCCAGCCCAACAAAGTGACATTTATGTCAGTTCTGGCCCTCATAACAAATGAGTTCAACACATCTGACCTAGTGGGTAATGTGAGTTTAAAGCATTCCATTCTATGGGAGCTGGATTTGAGTACAGGAGCATTTTAGAGACCAATATGAATCTCAGCCACAATCTCTTTCCAAGAGCTAACAAAGTTTTGCCAGTGCTGCTTCACGTACTAGTTTTAGATAATTTATCCGTAAATTAGGACAAATATATCCAGTCTTCTCAGACTGTTAATGGCCTAATAGCTTGTAGCCACACTGAGACAATTGGGTGTCTGCTGCCCACCTGATCACCATTTAGATCTCTTACAGTTTAGGGGGTGTGCCAAGCTGGGCTAAATCCTGCACTTGCCATTGGCATTTACAATCCCCTCCCTATGGGCTGACACAGCTGGATGAAAGTTAGCACACCATGACCAGCACACTGGCCTGAATGGACTGTGAGAACGGGCCTTTATTCATGGTGCATAGCCCATCTGGAACCTCCTTGGCATTATTCCTTTTTTTAAAAAAACAAAACCCAGTTGTCCAGATCCTGTCCCAGTATACATCAGCATGATTCCTCCACAAACTCTTTGACTGGTCTTGGTTGTACAGGCCGTCGGGCCCAGCTTACTCATGGCTCCAGGGCAAGGGCCCTGATTTCTCTGGCTGTACTCCCTGCGTTTAAATACCTGCAACAGGGAGAGAACAGTAGCTCAGCCCAGATCTCATTTAGTAGGCAGGAACTGTACCCTCTCTGCATATTATGCTATCCTCATACAACGATGCGGCTTTCAGGTTGAATTTTCTTGCGATCCTATGCGAACCTCCTCCAGTCTAAGATTTCTGCATCGTATTGCATTGCCAAAGCACCTCTCAGCGCCCCCGTGTGTGGGGGGAGTTAATTTACGTATTGCAATTCTTAACCTCTCTGCGCTTCAGACTACCGTTTTTATGTCTTCAGCCTCTGAGCGCTGCTTTTCCCCTGACATTGCTCAAGCCCTTTTGTTCACGACACTTTCTGCTCCAGTTACGGGTAAGGGAACGACGCCGAACTGGTTCCGCAGCTCTCCTTCAATCGCGCCGCGGCTCCCTTTCCAATACCGGGCGTCGCCAATAAATATAGGCAATGCTCACTCTCGACACTAGGAGTCTCTCTTCCGCGCAAACACTGGGCGGCGGCCCTGAAAATATTGAACTCATCGTACAGAGTAGGGAACTGGGTGCTTTAGGTGTCTATAGTGAAGCCTGATTAGAAAGGACGATTTACTCTCCTGTCGGATCGAATTTCCCCTCGAAGTGGCCTTTGTGTTGTGACCAAAACGGCCGCTGGATTATTCAGGAGGATGCAGATGGGCTTTGAATAGAGCAAAAGGATTTTCGGTGGGGAGGCTGCAATCCGGCATCACCTGGGGTGCTCGAGGTCCTCGGCCGAGCCGGTGGGGAAAAGGCGGGGTCCTTTTGGCGGGGCCTGGGCGGATGAGGTCACTCTTTGTGGCGGCTGCTGTTGGCAAGATGGCGCCGGTGCTGGCGGAGAAGAAGCTGCTGGGGCCAGACGGGCCCGCGCCTGCCGAGTTCCCCAGCGAGGAGGAAGAAGGCCAGAGCCTCTGGTGAGGAACCGCGCCGGGCGTCTGTGCGGCGGTGGAGCCCTGGCTTCGCTCCCTCTTAAGGGGGGTAAGGGGGGGGCGGTAGGACCAGCCATTGTCAGGGCTGGGGCGGGGGGGAGAGAACAGCAGATTCCCTTGGCCGTCTGCAGAAGCCCTTGCTGAGGGGTGGGGATCCAGGCTCGGCCGCCTTCGGCCTTGGGAGGGGCTCCTGATGTAGCTGCGGAACAGGAGCATGGACCCGGCAGGCGTGGGATGGAGGGATGGGCTCCCCTTTCCGCTTTGCTTTTCTGGTTCTCTTGCAAAGATGCACACGTTGTAAGCGTGAGGGACACATCCTGCGGATACAAAAGCCGGGGAGCCTCATGGAGAGGAGGGATCCACCTTGCCCAAGAACGAGCATCCCCTGTTCTCTTTAATCCCCCGAACTGCATCCCCGGTGCATCACAAGAAGCGCTCGTTCCCGTCTCCCCTCTTCTCCAGGGCCCTTCATTTTCAAAACGTGGTCCTCTGAATTTGAAAGCCAGTGTCGTCGTAGGCTGCAGTCCAGAAGACGTGTTCCTGGGGGTGTGTGTGTGTCTCATTGGGGGGGGGAAATGGGTCTTACCTCTGATTGGGTCTGCTTAGGATCGCTCCTGTAGTGTTAGAATAGGATCTGGGAGATCCAGTTTCAAACCCCCACACTGTCTGTGAAGCTCACTGGGAAACCTTGGGACAGTCTAACTCCTGCACAGGATTGTGATGATAAAACGAAGGCAGAACTGCATACGCCTGTTTGAGGGAGAGTGGTGTACAAAATAAATACTAAGTACATAAGATTGACCTGTATGGAAATTATATGTTTTGAAAACAAACTAGAAGAATGAGGGGGGCAGGGCTGTGGGTTCAGTGGAAGAGTGCCCACCTTTCCTGCTAGCTGAAAGGTCCCAGGCTCAAGTACCAGATGATGTGAAAGATCTCTGAGTGAGACCTTGGGCAGCCACTGCCACTCTGAGCAGGCGGTACTGACCTCAATAGGCTGATGGCCTGACTCAGCATACGGCAGTCTCGTGGATACGGGGTAGACCATTTGCTTTGCATGCAGAAGGTCCCAGGTGCAATCCCTGGCGTCTTCAGTTGTAAGGATTCGGGGAGTAGGTAATGTGAAAGACCTCCACTTGAGAGGCACTGCTAGTCTGTCAGAGTAAACAGTACTGATCTGACTCAGTAGAAGGCAGCCTTCTGTGTAGAGGGAGGGGCCATGGATCAGTGGCAGAGCATCTGTGTTGCATGCAGAAGGTCCAGCGTTCAGTCTCCAGTTAAAATAACCAGGTAGCAGTGATGGGAAAGATCCTTACTGAAACTCTAGTGAGCTGCTGCCGGTCAGAGTGGATAGTATCAGTCATGCTAGTCTGACTTGGTAAAAGGTGGCTTCCGATGTGATTTGTGTGGTAGATGGTTAGAGCCAAAAATAGGGTTGCCAGCAGGGAATGGATCCATTGTGAGTCCCTAAGGGCTTCATATGATGATGGTTTGGGAAGCTAGGATAAGATGTATCTGATTGTTTTGGCTATAAAAATCTTCTGGAGCATTTCCTCTGGTCATATGTCTCTGTTCAGTTCAAGCAAGCGTTTCAGCTGCAGGCAGAATGGCTGCTGCTACCACCTTTCTGCCCAGCAATAGTCTGCCTTTGTGAAATCTGAAGCGCCTGTCCTTATCCTCTCTCTTGACTTTGAGAGATCCGTCATTGTCAGGAGTGCTGTGTGAGTAGATCTGAGAAGCTGGACCCATTGTAAAAGCGCAATTAGTCAGTAGAAACATGCTTTAAACCGATTGACTTTTTAATGTGTTCTTTGATATAGTGTTCCTGGCACCTGATCTATTCTGAGTTTTCCCCCTGCGTTGCATCGCAAGATGGGATGAAGTTGCGGGGGGGGGGGGGGGGGCGGCAAACTTGCATCACAGTAGTTTCTCCTCCGCTTGCATTGTTCCTTCAGTGCTCCTCTTGTTTGCAGTTCTCATCACATAAATATTATTTGTGCCCAGTGGTTAAACTTCTCTTGTGAGCCTTAAGACTGCATAATGGTTGTCCACAGTAATTACACAGTGAGGCCCAGAAGGCTATTTCCAGAATCAAAAGATCTCATACCCTGTCTTTGGTAAGGGAGGAGGGGGCTTGTGTGCACAGAAAGTCAGCAGTAGTGTGTCTCCCTCTTTGACATTACCTCCTGCATTGTTGGGGAGAGTATCTGAAGCCACTGCCCCTGGCCTGGTTATCTTTGGGGAAAATTTTACTGTTATGGGTCAGGTGACATTACAGCTCCTCTGACTGCCTCCTGGGAGAAGATATATCTGACCACTAAGGACAAATATTCTTTGGGTATTATCAGCAGTGATATTTGGTTTTAGGCATATATAGCTCCTGAATCATAGCTGCAAATTATTACTTTTCTGCTTCTGAACACTTAATGCTTGAGTCCTTAGGTGCATTGTGTCAGAATTTGGCCATGTGGTCTGATAATGGATCTTTCAGTGTAGTTTCTGTGTTTTAGAAGACCCAGAATTTGAGTCAAAGGCATCCAGTTTTCAATGAAATTAAGTGAGGGGAAAGTAAAAGCTTATATGCCCTTCAAGTGGTTAGGAATATGAGTGTCTGTTACACAGAAATGGCTGTGTGTTTATTCCAGTGAAAACTGATTTGGTTATCCATTAGCAATATGCCTGAAAACCTGTGAACAAACTGAAAATCACCTTCAGAAAGGTTGGATTTCTTGAATACTCGTTTTAAAAAATTGTTCAAAACCATAGTTCTCACCCATTTAGCAAGGTGGTATGATGTGAAGTTGGGAATCAAATTTTGGATTTTAAAGTATTTATTTCTGGCTCTCCAGTACCTTACTTTTAAGAGTTAAGCTAGGTTGCCGGTCCTAGCAGGGCAGCAATAGCTTTGAAAGTGTACTAGTGCCATTTCAGCAAAATGATGCAGAAGAATCTAGCCATGAAATCATCTTTCCTCATGGTAGCAGAATTTCATGGAGGGTCAAGTTTCCCAAAACACCTTCTTTGCAACAGAGTGTCACCTAATTTAAAATACACCTAATTAAAGCTTCTGAGGTTTCTAAACAGAATGCAACATGCTGGCTGGCACTGTTCCAGCAATAGTGGTGCTCTTAAACCATAGAAAGCCAAAAACAGGGTGCGTTGATTTAAATTAAGTTTCCAGTATTGTAATTTGTGCAGTTCCTAAACAGTGTGCACAGTAAGCGGTTGTTATAAAAACAAATTTGGGTGCGATTAAATTTTGTTATCTAATTGGGAACTTTGGTTCTTATAGTTCAGCTGCCTTTTGTGCCTATGGAATTGCAGCTGCTTAGATAAGCAGAAGGTAGGGAGGACAGTAAAATCAATGGATTTCTATTTGCCTCTCTGTAGACATGCAGAGACACTAGACAATATCACTTGTGTTGAAGATTTGAGTTCCTAGGACTTTGCAGAAAGAGCTGGGAGCTGCTGGGCAAAGTGGTGCTACTTCATGAGATTAAAAGTAAATATTATTCTTGTTTGGTTAGGAGAGTCATACGTATTCAGAGCTTGACAGCTGAACCACAGATAGTTACAGGGCATAGGATTAAAGTATAAGAGGGTGGGGCCAGTGGCAGATCCTGCTGAGGTGTATGGGTGGGTGTGTCCTTGGCTCTCCTCACACCTGTGATAACTTGTCAGTCTATTAGAGATGCATTATAATATGACCTGTAGGCTTAATAGTCTGATGCTTCCCCCTGCTGTGTTTTTAGTTCATCTGACTTCAGTCCGATAGCATGAGTATAGGCATTAACACTTTCATATTTAGATGCCATTGTCAACCAGATTAATTTTAACGAGCCTGAAATATTAAGAGGTAGACAGCTCTATTTAAAGTCAAGTTTTGCTCAAATGGCTGTATGTAAATTCATTTTATACAGAAAAGCATTTTAATATTGCTTTGTTTCACCTTTGTTACACTTTGTCTCAGTCAACTTAATAAGAAATTTTGTTTTCATTCAGGCTTTCAATACTGAGTGAAGTTTCTACTCGGTCAAGGTCTAAACTACCCTCTGGCAAAAATATTCTTGTTTTTGGTAAGTATTATTGAGCAGTAGGGAGATAGGAAAACTAAGCTCTTGGGATGGTCCTCTTTTTAAAAAGGAAAGCTTTTAAGTGATAGAACAGTAATGTAACTTTCTAGAATCCCACTGTGGATGCATTTCATATCCTGCTAGCCCAGCTTGTGTTTTGATAAGCTGTACCTGCGGTGGCTCAAGTGGTTAAGACGCTGAACTGCAGGCTGTGGAAGGTCAGTAGCTCAGCAGTTCGAGACCCGGGTGGCGCATGATGGAGTGAGCTCCCGTCTCTAGTTCCAGCTCCTGCCAACCTAGCAGTTCGAAAGCAAGAAATTGCAAGTAGATAAATAGGTACCACTCCGGTGGGAAGGTAACAGCGTTCCGTGCGCCTTGGTGTTTAGTCATGCCGGCCACATGACCACGGAAACGTCTTCGGACAGCGCTGGCTCTTCGGCTTTGAAACGGAGATGAGCACCGCAACCCTAGAGTCGGACTTGACTGGCTTTCGAGCAAGGGAACCTTTACCTTTTACCTTAAACCTAATTTATTTTCATAAAGTTATGGGCTCATTAAATGTTTTACAAAGTAGGTTGAATGAGTGCCATACAAAATAATTTTTTAAATGCTAGCACAGCATTCTTTTTGTGGAGTAAAATGAAAGGTTAATTAGTTTCACTTTGTAGCTGAGTAACACTGGTTGTGGTTGAAAATTGTGACTCAGAGATATTTATAATGAGGCTTATGCTTTATTTCGCTGCCCTTTAAAAAAAATGACAGAACAAATTAGATGCTTCTCAAGCATCCCCAGAAGATTGTTTAAATTCTCTGTTCAAAGACAGGGCCATTTCATGCCAGAGGGACGCTGTCTGATTATTATTATTTGCCCTGCAAATTTATTGGCAGGTGATGATGGCTCAGGCAAAACAACACTAATGACTAAAATACAAGGAGCAGAACATGGCAAGAAAGGAAGAGGGCTGGAATACCTGTACCTGAACATTCACGACGAGGATCGAGATGGTAAAGAATTTGACTTTAACTGCACTACACTTGTTGCAATTAAGGAGGCCTTCTCTGCTTAACTTCATTGATGATGCTGAAGTCTATCCTGTTTTTATGCTGCCTTTTCTTCAAGCAACCAATATGAAGTTTCCCTTTCCCATCTAAGGGGAGGGGGGAGGCGGCTAACAGTGGCTGGCCCAAGTTCACCCAGTGAGATTTCTGGGCCAGCAGGGATTTGAATCTTGGTCACACTGGCTCTTTCGAACATGTTATGCTTTCTGGTCCTGTGCATGGTTTACCTGGAAGTAAGTCCAGCTGCGTTCAGTTCGGCTTACTTCCAGGTTTGGATAGCAGACATAACTGGATCAGTGTTTTTCCTGCGTACAGACACATGGCTGCAGCTTGCAAGAGGGAGAGTGTAGACTCACTAGTCTTTCCCTTCCTTCCCTCAATATTACGTGTCACTAACGATCTATTGCTCTCACTTCTGTTGCCTCCCCCCCCCCCCCCCGCCGCTGCTCATGGTGAGGTTTGTAGGGTTCCCACCTCCTTCTCACTACATTCTGGTGAGACGGGGTAGGCTAACCGGTAGTGACTGGCCTCATCGAGCTTCCCAGTTTGGGGAGGGAATTTAAACAGGGGTGATCATAGAGAAGCCTGCTGTTTCTCTTGTGGTTTTTTCTGATGCTTCTTTGCTGGCTAGATAACTCATTCATACTAGTTTCCAGTATAGTTTGTATCCCTCCTGAGCACGGAGCCCATTGGATTAAATGTGGGTTGTTCTGATAAAGAAGGCCGCTTGCCACTCGTGTTTCAATAAAAGGTCAACGTGTGGCCCATCCAGTTGAAAAGAGAATTCAGTTCTTGCTCTCAATTCTGTCTTAACCTCTGTGTATCAAATCAGGCTGAAATGTTGCCTGTTGACGTAAAGTCAGCTGGAATATTTTGTTGCTTGTTATATAAATGCATTCATATTGTTTTGAGCTTAAAAGGCATGAGTATTAATTGTAGTCCATGTGGAACATATGAACTTATTTGTTTTCTTTGTCCTGCGTAACACTGGTTGAATCTTGGGGGGAAGGTTGCAAGTGTGTGGAAAAGGATCTGCTAATATGAAGCTATTCCTTTTTTTTTTAGATCAGACCCGCTGCAATGTCTGGATTCTTGACGGGGACTTGTACCATAAAGGGCTCTTAAAGTTTGCTGTTTCACCCGAATCGTTGCAAGAGACCCTGGTAATCTTTGTGGCAGACATGTCGAGACCATGGACTATTATGGAGTCTTTACAAAAATGGGCCAGCGTCTTGCGTGAACATATTGATAAGCTGAAAATTCCCCCTGAGGAGATGAGAGATATGGAACAGCGATGTAAGTAAGGTGGTGCTGAAAGTGGTGTACAAGTGCAACTTTCAGTGACAGCTGCTGGCGAAAGCCCTCTTTGCGGTCTTGTGTGTGGTTGTGCCTGGGAGGGATCAAGAAGATCAGAGAAAGTAAGTCTTGACAAAGTAGACCAGTTTGTTCAGGAAGTGCAATCAGTCTTTCAATAAAACCTAATTTGCTACCTTAATAGAAGATAAACGAGAAGGGATACTTTCCCGTATATTCTGTATATGAACAGATTAGAAACATAGCCTCTCATTATTATAGGGTGTCTTTTGTTTTGTTTCAAACTTACGCAAGTCTGCAACGTTAACAGAATTAATATTGCTGGTAAGACAAACATTATGGCTGGAGGTATAGATTCTGAGCCAGTAGGATGTAGTGGTTAAGGGAGTTGGGCATGGATCCGGGAGGCCCAGGCTCGAATCCCTGCTCTGCCATGGAAGCTTACAGGGTGACTTTGGCTAGACATATACTTTCAGCCTCACCTATCTTACAGGGTTGTTTGAGAATAAAATGGAGGAGAGAACGGTAAGCTTCTTTGGGTCAGCATTGTGGAGACAAGTGGCATATACATGAAGGAGATAAATAAATGCTTCAGTGGGCAAGGGATTTGTGGAACCTGGCGCTTTACAGAACTTGACATCCTGGGAATCTTTGTTCTTTGGAAAAAACGATCACGATCTGCTCCTTATTCTTGCAGCAAGAGGCTTGAAAACTTAGAAATGCATAGGAACACTGAAGAGACTATAGATGAGTATTCAGGTTCATAAAAATAAAACTTATCAGGGTAGCAAGACACTCTGACTTCTTTCAGGTGTAATAAGAGACTAAAGTTGGTTGCTGTGAGAGGGAGCCTTAGACGTTCTTGGACGCCTGGTGTCTCAGGAGTTGAAGATGTTTTGGTTTGATACCAGCTGTAATTGTCATGCGGCATCCATTTGTTTCTTTGCCCACAAACCAGGATTAAGTGAAGCTGCACGTGTCAGGAAACAGCATGTCAGCCCAAGGGCATCAAAGACTTGAAATGACAGCTAACAGCTGCTGAATGGCAACTCTCGAAATGACAATTAAGAGCTGCTGAATGCAGCACCTGAAGGCTTTCTGAGGGCCTGGACTAATTGTTTACTTGGCTTGCAAAAATCTTTAGAAGCTGACATTGCCAAGTGGATCTTGGAAATCTGTGGCAAAAGACCAAACCGTTGCAGGGTTTGTGTTTAACATCCCTTTGTTGGCAATAAGCTCATTTGCTTATTGGCTGTGGTTATAGCTGTGGTCTGTATGTGGAAGATGTTACCCTCTTCATTTTGCCCACCTTCAAGTGCATATTCAGTTCCTTGCTACCTGACCTGCTCCTGTGACCACAGGAGTAATTCCAACTGCTTCACGGAGTTCACGGAGGGCTTTCTTGGTAGCCCCCGATAAAGTGTCTTTAGGCTCTTGACCGAGTCTGGGCAAGTTGTGGGCACCCTTGAAAACGAAATGTATTCCTGGGGTGTCTTGATTGCTTCGGTTGCTTCTAAGAAGCCTTTTCCTTTTAGAGAGAGAGAGAAAAAAACCCATTTAGAACACTTTCCAAGTTTTTTATTATGGTGGTCTCCCCCACTGAAGTGAACAGTCTTGGTTTGGCAGATCTGTGAACTGTGGTTTCAAAAGGACAGCAGCCTCCAAAGTTGCGTTACCAAAATAATCACGCCTTGATGTACACGAGGGACCTCTCCCCTTGGTCCACAACAGAATGCCCAGCCCAGCCCAGCCCTCGGTGTATTTTATTTGCCTCATTTACATCCCACCTTTCTCTCCAGTGGGTGCCCAAAAGGGTTTAGTTCATTCTCCCCGTCTCCATTTTGTCCTCACAACAGCCCTGTGAGGCAGGTTAGGCGGAGAGGGTGTGACCGGCCCAAAGACACCCAGTCAGTTTCCGTGGCAGATCCTAGTCTGACACTCTAACCCCTACACCCCGCTGGCTCTCATCCTTTAAAAAGAGACGGCCCTTCCGTGCACAGGGAAGTGTTTGTGTTCTGCCCCATACCGTGACGGGTCTTTTCAGTCTCTTGAACCTCGCAAAGCTTTATCGTGATGTTTGTTTATTTGTTTGTTTAAAATCTTTATTAGCCCTGCATGGCTGAAATACGTGAACCCTGGTTAAAGCATATTTAAATGTTCTGCTTAGGGAATAAGGGGGTTCTTTTGTTTGTTCTTTACTGCTGCCATTTTGTTGCAGTGCCCTATGACCGAAAAAAAACCCCACCCTTTATTTTCGGAGGACAGGATAACTGTACAGAACAATGTCCAGTGCATCTTGGGAAGTGGGAAGTGGGGGGGGGGGTTTGGGGAGATCTCCTTGTGCAGTCAGAAGGTACTTCTGTGTGGTTTGCTAATACAACCTTGCATTCATTGTACTATTGACTTATTACTATTGACTGCAGGGACTGGGTGGTTAACAAATGTAATATATAAATAAATTTTGAACTGATGGAGAGAGGATTTTAACATTACGGAGTGCACTGATTCTGTTCTGTTCTATTAATGAAACGTTTAAATAGTTTGTCTGTGCCCTTCGCTAAATGCTTTTTGAGTACATGATGACTTGCTTCCCAGTATTTGTCGCGCTTCGTTGGAACGAGCCTCTTGTTATGTTTGACGTTAAATATTTGTGTACTAGTCTTTCCTGCATAAAAATGGTCCAAAGTAGCTCAGAGAATAAACCTATCAGTACGCAAACCACAATTTAAAAACACGAAGTAATATACATTTGGGTTACAGTTCAGGTAACATTGAAAACAAATAACGGCATTGTTTGAATTGAGTGAATATGTAGAACACCCTGTCCAGTTGTGTACTTGATACTGATGAAGCAGGGTGGTTATTCTGTTGATGTCAGGCATTGCAGAGAAACCGAATGAAGGTAGGGCCAGAGTTTTCAGGGACATCTGATATTAGTGGCAGCATTTTCAAGTAACTGATCTCCCTTTGTGAGCAGCAGGCATGCATGCTTGCAGGCTGTTAGGCATACTTGCTTTAAAAACAGTCAGTAGAAATAGCCTCAGTATTCAAAGCTAGAGGTAGTGAAATCAAGGGCAGACGATGTAATATATGAAACCAATACTTTTTGCTGCATTAACTCTTCTGCAACTGCTAGTATGGATTTCAAGGACAAAACGTACAGAGTTCAGTAGAAGAACTTAAAACGTCATAAGCTGTTTGCCAGTAGGTCGTCTTCAACATGTGATCTCTCAGAAACTGGCAAGTAGAAGAACTTAAAACGTCATAAGCTGGTCTTCTTCAACATGTGATCTCTCAGAAACTGGCATGGTCGGTTGTCACGTTAAGAAACTGAAGAGTCTTTCTAAAAAAATCTGCAGATATTTGCACACTGATACAGCAAAAAATACAGCTGCGGTGGCTCAAGTGGTTAAGACGCTGAACTGCAGGCTGTTGAAGGTCAGTAGTTCAGCAGTTTGAGACCCGAGTTGCCGCATGACGGAGTGAGCTCCCGTCTCTAGTTCCAGCTCCTGCCAACCTAGTAGTTCGAAAGCAAGAAATTGCAAGTAGATAAATAGGTACCGCTTCGGTGGGAAGGGAACAGCGTTCCGTGCGCCTTGGTGTTTAGTCATGCTGGCCACATGACCACGGAAACGTCTTCGGACAGTGCTGGCCCTTCGGCTTTGAAACGGAGATGAGCACCGCAACTATAGAGTCGGACTCGACTGGCTTTCGAGCAAGGGAACCTTTACCTTCACCTTTTTACAGCAAACTGAACCGTGTTGGCATAAAACTGCTTATCCAGAATTTGTGTGGGGAGGGATTGTGTCTCAGTGGAAGAGCCTGCTTGGCATGCAGAAGGTCTCGGGTTCAATACCAGCATCTCCAGCTGAAAGGACCAGATAGCAGGTGATATGAAAGACCTCCACCTGAGACCCTGGAGAGTTGCTGCCAGTCTGAGTAGGCCTTGACGGCCGGATGATCTAACTCAGTATGAGACAGGTTTCATATTAATAAATGGTAGTTCAGATGAGGAGGTGAAGATGTTCCCCTGTTAAGGGTCCTGGCCTGGCATCTTGATGCTCTTCTGTTGCGTCAGACTGTTCTTATCGCTGGAAGCTGGCTTGCTCTTTGCTGCAGCTTTCCTGAAAGAGCAATGCTTTTGTGATCTATCAGCGGTGAGCACAACTGGAAAAATCACTTCTTTTCCTGATGCTTGACACTTCCCTCTTTTGTCAAGAAATCCAGTCTGGCAAGGGTTGCCTGCTGCTTTGAACACCTCAGGCATCAACCCTTGTGTGGGGCTAAATTTAAAGTTAGTGCAAAAGACTCCATGACGTCCAGAGCTCTATCATGTGGCTTTATCATACCCACAAAGAGAATGTCCCATTCAGTGGGTAAGAAGGCTTCCTTTCTTCTACTGAGAAGTCTTGTTTCTGTTGGGGATTACGTCATTCCATACTTGCCTCATGAGAGAAACCATGAACTGGTGCCTGTTGCAGTGAAAACTAAACGCCTGTCTCTGGGTTTGGGCAAAATGAGCTTCCTATTTCTGTGATTGCAGATCTCATGGTGTTTTGTGTGTGTACTGAAATGGGAACTGTGAAGTAAATGGTTGGAAAACGCCAGGAGGGCAGAGCCGTTAAGGGCTATGCTCTTCCCCACAGATCTCCAGCAGCTTCTTAGATGACCATGAGAAAAGTTTATTGCAAGAGAAGCTCGTGGCAGGGGCCTCATGCCGTTGCTGTCTCTAGGAGACTCCTTTCAGTAGCATCCTTTCAAATGTCCAAAGGGTTTCTGCAATTTGGAGGCTGGAGCAGTCTGTGTTTCCCTAGTTGCTGATATAGTTGAGACTGCAGGGAAATTATTCATTAATGGCGGCTGGGGGGGTGGGGGGAGCAAAACAGCCCTTCAGGTTGCTGTCTGCAAGACAAGCCCTTGTCTGGTTAGCCTTCGCTTTGTCTGCAGCCACAGCTAGTATGGAGAGAGATCTTGGGAAGCAGCTGACTAATCCACAGCAGACGTTCGGGGGAGGGGTGAAGAGGAAACTGCGGGATTACTGCTAAATGCTCCTGGTTTCCAGTGGGGGAAATACTGATGTATGTTTTGTTTAGACTATGTAGCTGTCCTGTTAGAGATCAGGTGTAAAACTCTGTTTCCTGTAATATGGGTGCATGTATAGAGCATCCTTGAGGTTGTATTTGCTTACAACAGATAGCTCCTTGGTACCCACAGAAAGCTTAATAACTGTATACTGTGCACCCTTCCGGGCTAAAAATGCACCTAAATCAGTTTGCAGTAGTAAGAGGCAGACGACATCGGCAGCCTGTATTTATGGACAACATTTCCTTGCATCAATACTTATACAGTTTCCAATAAGAGAGAGGTGGGCTCTTGGCTACTGTAAATGAGCCACATCCTGGGCTGGGTTTTTTGTTTTGTTCGTTTGCATCATTTTCTGAGTTGGTAATCTTGGGTCTTGCACTGCTTGTTGGGTACCTTGTACTGTCTGATTGCTTTCTTTTATGTTCGGTAACTTGCCTCGAGTCTCCGTGAGAAAGCTGGGCTATTAATGAGCAAATGAATTCTCTGAACAAAGCCCGGGCCTATGTTCCTTTGCTAATTCTAGTGGGAAAACTGTCAGAAGAATCTCTCATAGAAGGGGCGGAAATACTCTTGTGAGTTTCTGTCAGCTGCGGCCATGTGGCATCTTAGTTGAAAGTCTAGAGGGTTGAAGTGGCACTTGGGAGGGTTTATCCCAAGGGACGTTTTGCCTTCTGGACTGAATTCTGCCCCACACTGGGCTCTACCGTGTCTTCTAGCTGTGGACCAGGGGTGGGTACAGGTCCTTGGCTCAGTCTCCTGCCCTATTTCAGTACATGTGCCCCTTGACACTGGATGATTTGTAGAGGCCTGCCCTTAAACAATATACTCCTGCAAGCTTTCAGCAGTGTTTTGTAAGTGTCCACTGTAGAAGAGGGTAAATGTAGCTCCAGGAGCATGGTCATGTGGTACCCATTTGGCTCAGCCTGTCTACTGGTTTGGGCTGTTCTCTGCTAGACTTGGCTCTCTTGAAGATCATGGAGGAGGGGAAACAGCAGCAGTAACATGGGGCGGTTCCCAGTCTGTGGGCTCCCCACGGCCGTTGCTTCTGCCTTTGGGTTCTCTGTGGAGGCTGCATGCTTGACCCAGGGACTGAATGTTTAATGGAAGCGATATTGTAGCTTGCCCTGACCTGGATGGCCCAGATAGCCGAAGCTCATGAGATCTTGGGAGCTAAGCAGGGCTACTCCTGGTTAGAACTTGCATGGGAGTCCACCAGGGGATTTCGAGAGTCGCTATGCAGAGGCGGGCAAAGCTAAACCACATCTGTTTGTCTCCTGCTTCGAAAACCCTGTGGGGTCGCCATAAATCTGCTGCAACTCGATGGTACTTTCCACCACACGTTGTAGTTCCTGTTATATCTGGAAACTAAAATGCACTAGACCAGAAATCTCCACGCAGGGGCAATGCAAATGAAAATGCCTTAAAAGTTGCTTTTTGAGCAGGAGTATGGGGATTGCTATTTTGTGAGAAGAAAGTTCTTGGAAGGTTTAGTGGAGACGGGATATCTAGCAGAAGTATACGTATAAGATCCTCCTTGCAGCCATTTGAATGGATGGTTGTTACAGTAACCTGTGGTTTATAATTTTAAATTCTAGGTGTGACTCTTTCATCCTCTGATCTGAAAGGTTTGCTCGTCGCTCTAAGCAATTTTGTTATATTATTTTGCTTCCATAGTCATGAAGGCGTTTCAGGAGTATGTAGAGCCTGAGGAAGGCTATCAGGGATCACCACAGAGAAGAGGCCCATCGGGCCAAGATGATGAAAACGTTACTTTACCACTTGGGGACAATGTGCTGACCCACAACCTTGGGATCCCTGTGATAGTTGTTTGCACGAAGGTGAGCTTAATTGCAAGGATGCGTGTTGTGTGTGTTTTTGGCATACTGGAGTGTACATTTTTACCTGGGAAGGTAAAGCAGTGTTCCCAAGCAGTGTTCCCTCTAAGCTGAGTTAGTGTGAGCTAGCTCACAGTTTTTTAGCCTCCGGCTCTCACGTTTTTGGCTTAGCTCAGGAAGGAGGGCTCCAAAGCAAACTGATTGATGCAGCAGCCAAATCGCTCGCTCACAACTTTAAGGCCAGTAGCTCACAAAGTAGAATTCTTGCTCACAAGACTCCACAGCTTAGAGGGAACATTGCCAAGTTTATATGGGGGCCTTGACACTTCTATAGTGGGTATCATCACTGACAGTCCTTGAGTCTCCGTTTTCTACCGCAGCCAAGTCTAAAAATGAGCACACATTCTTCCCTTAATTATCTTTGCTGTCTATCCCAGACCTTCCTTTATCTCCCCTGTGCTGAATTTCAGACTGTAAGCTGTTTGGGGCAGGGTTTTTATCTCCTAGTGCTTTGCAAAGAATGGCTTAGAGGCTGCTGGGTAAATGAGTTCTAAAGCCTGGTCTGCAGGTTGTGTTGAAGTGGCAGAGATCAGAGATGGTAGGATGGACAGGATGCCTTCAGAGCACATATGGAGAGTCACATTTTGGAATGCTCCCCCTGTGTTAAAAGCTCCTTGTAGATAGAAAACCTGAAAGGTGAGCAAGAGAGAGGGGCCAGAACATTTCTCCCTACTGAGCTAGCACAGAGTTTGAAGATACTAAGGGATGTTTGGAACTGGAATGCCCTACCTATAGTTCAAAGTGGTATAGTCCAGTTTACTACCTAATATTTCTCCCTGTGTTAAACCCAGGCTTAGTCTACCCAGAAGGGGTCTTATGCATTGATGACACATTGTTATGGTTGTGGTGGGGGTGGAAGCAACTTGCAAAAAGTTGTTTCCTCCACTGCTTTTTTGATTATTGATGTGTATAAAAGCTGGAAATACTTCAATTTTTAACACATTTATTTTGCTGCTCTTCCCACTTGCAAAGGTGGGCAAGGGCTACACAGTTTCTAATTTTTACTTTTGTTTTGCCTTACCTGATTTTTAATGACTACAACATCCCTGTAGACTTCTTGTGGTCATAATATACCTATTCAGACTTCTGCCATCCTCCATTTAATAGAAGTGAGCAGAGAGTCACGAAAGCTCCTACCCTGCCACATACTTTTTTAGTCTTTAAGGTGCTGCTGGACTTGTGCTCTTTTCTACTGCTATAGACTGACTAACACGGCTGCCCATCTTGATCTATCTCCATTTAAAAGGGTATATATTTATCAAAGCTTCAGTGTCACGTGGAATCCTTTGGATTTTAACAAGCAGTTCCAGAAAGAGT